TAAATAAAATATTAAACAAAATTAAAACATAAATATTTTGAAAATAGTGTTTCTAATTTTTTTTATTAATTACTGCCATGAAATTAACAAAAAATTGTTTTTTTTTTTACTTTCCTTTTCACCAGATATCGCTAGTTGGGACTAAGGTAAACTTATATAATATATATTTTATGTATGTGTTGCATGTATATATTTGAATTGAAATTGATCATAACAATCTAACTGCCCAAACACACTCTCTGTTCTACCCAAGGTTAGCTGGTAGAGAATTCCATACAACATGGTCACAAAGTGTCATTAAACGTCACTGGGCGCCCTGGTGGCAAGTCATTGTTATTGACATTGTTAAAGTTGCGGACTGCAAACTCGGATACTCATTGATTCAAATCCGCCATTCGACTACTTCTAACAACACAAGCATTTCAAGCTCTTACTTGAAGTGGTTAAATACATCTGTATTAGTAATTTTAGTAGCGGTACTACACTATTGTTCTTAAAAAACACTCTTATTGTTCAAAAAAAAATGCTTGAGGTAGCCTGGGACACCGTGGTGATTCCTCGAGTGTTCCATATTGCTGAATTTATCAAGGCGTTGGACTGACAATAAAAAATATTTCCATAATAAGAATTTTAACCCTTTCCCCGTCCCGTGACCCACATATGGGTCTTTGCTATTGTCTTACTATTGTGTCTACAAATCGAACAGAGAAAGTTTTAAGTTACCATGTATTATCTTTAAATTAATCTATTCTTCAGCATCGTCCTGGTAACAACTCAAAATAATATCTAACTACAAATAAAAATTGTACAACCGTCTTCAATATAAATAAAATGAGAACATCATCAGAGTAGTTGAAGTCAATTAAATATGCATTATTAAGGATAACTCAAAACTTCTGGCTAGATCTCGATCAAATATATATGGGACTGCCACCAGCTTTCAATTAAAAAAAAAGTCATCAAAATCGGTTAACCTAGAAAAAAGTTCTGAGGTAACACACAAACAAATACAGTCGAATTGAGAACCTCCTCCTTTTTTTGAAGTCAGTTGAAAAGTTGAAAATACTTCGGTTGCCAATCTGCCTGCTGAGCAACTATGGCAAAATCTCCTCTATGAGGCAAGCCATGGGGAGGTCTATGTGCAGCAGTGGATTTTTATATGAAATAGAATAATGGAATCTATTCTTAGAACACCTACTAGAAATCCTTAAACGTTGGCTGAATAGCGATCCGCACACAATAGCTCAATGTTAAGAGAAAGTGAGCTAGATCTAGGCGAAAGCGATTAACAAAGGACGGTATACCATCATTGCTTTGAAACAGCTAGTTAAGTTATGGCCGGTTATTTGATGTTGTACATAATATGTATACATATAAATATTATTGAAGTCTGGCTAAAATATTGAGATAACTGACTTCTATTATGCTCACGGGGTTATTTGCATGCTGTTAAGACATAAACAATCATTTTTTAAATTTTGTATGTCTGTCTGTCTGATTGGGATTGGGATTTTCGGAATGGCTGATCCAATTATGATGAACAGATGGAGAGTAATACCAAGAGGGATATAGTTTATATAAGTAGGGCTATAGTTTATCTGAAAAACTTGGGAATCATTTTTCGCAAAAACGAAAAATTGTAAAATAAATTATATGTACCTTAAATCTAAATTAAGCCACATTAATAGATAATACAGTAAATGTACTGCAGACCGACTTTGGATCACAGCGGCCAGTCATAATCTGATTGGACGGCAATCCGACAAATGGAGAGAGACCTTTTTAATCGTATCTACTAAGGCTAAGCGTAGAAGAGATGAGTGAATACAGTTCTGTCACGCTAATCCACCACTATAAAATCCTAAACATTGGATTAATGAAAACTGCGGATTATAATATACAGGAACTGCACACATACAGAAACAGGAAATTTGATAAAAATATGTGATTTATTTCTATATGTATTATATTTAATAAACCAACAAACATGAATCTTTTCTTAAAGTAATTACTCATATTTCGAAAAAAATGGGTCTAATTTTGCTTGTTCTATACCAAAATATATCTTCTTGATACCTTCATCGTGCATTTTACGTAAATTTGTAACCATATTGCATGACTTACCATTTTCTAGGGCCCATTTAATACAAATGTCTACGCTATTCAGGGCATCTTCAGATTTGACAGTGCTAACAAGCATGAAACATGACTTCTTCGTCTGATGAGTTGTTCGGTTCAACGATATTATATAAAAGCTCATCATCAGTTAAATGACGCTCATATATTTCAGGGTTTTCTTCATACCAATCTTCAAGATCTTCAAGTATTTAGAATTGTTGCTAATCGTATTAGTTCTTGTAAGGGTATCAGATCTTCTTCTTCTCAGCTCTCATCATCTTCGGTAATGGAAGGCCAAAATTTTTTCCAAGATGATTTGATAGTTCGTTTTTCTACTTCATCCCATGCATCGGAAACAGTTAAAACTGCGTCTTTGCTATTCAATTGTTTCAAAGCCTTAGAAATGTTTGCCTCTCGACTAGTTATTATGTAAAATCTTCTTTTTGTAATTGCTTTTCATCATTTGTATGATGTTTTGATCCATCGGTTGGATAAGAGGCGTACAGTTAGCCGGCAGGAAAATTGTTTTTATAGAACCATCATTAGTTAACAATTCATCGTTTAGGTCGTGTCCAGGTGCATTACCTAGGACAAGAAGTGATTATTGTGGTAAACTTCGTGACTTTAAGAATCCTTTCACGCCAGGCACGAAATCATGGTTAAACTAGTCGTAAAACAATTCCTTGGTTACCCGTGCCTTATTCTGACTTTTGTAAACGACTGGAACGTTCAATTTCTTGAATGGCATAGAGTTTTTAGACTTTCTAATAACTAAAAGCTTCAGCTTATCTGCCAGTTGCATCGGAACAAGGCATAATAAAACGTTCCTTGGACACTTTTCTGCCTGGAGCAGACGATTCACCTCTATGAATGTATGTTTTAATTGGTAAAACGCCAAAACGAGCCACTTTTTTCGACATTATAAACTTGATCGGCTGTCAAATTGAGTTATTCAATTTTATTCTTAAAAACTTCTATAAATGGTGAAACAGAAGATTCATTGCTGGACAACTTCTCTCCAGTTACAGTTAGCAGTCTGATACCAAATCTTGCTTTAAACTTAGAAAGCCAGCCTTCACTGGCTCATTCTTATAAATTTTCTCATAGAAATGAAGTGCTTTCTGACGCAACATATCAGCAGTTATGCGTGTGTAATGTCGACGCTCTTGCATAAACCATGCAAAAGGCGTTTCTTCTAACTGTAGATATTCACCAGTCCTCATAGTTTGACGTTTCCCTATTCCAGAATTTGCTGTAGTGACGTATTTTTAAATTTTATCTCTGTTCTTTCGAATGTCATAAACCGTTGACCGCCCTAAATGAAACTGATTTGCAATGTCTGTAAAAGGCACACAACTATCCACTTTAGCACTAAAGTTACAGTTTCATGCTTTCGTTTTGTGTATTGTTTGGGTAATGACGACGCCATTTTGGACGCTTTACTTCACGAAATTCAGTGTGGAATGCGCGCGCGACTTTTCACTCCAGATGTCGTGGGCGGACTAAAGAGTGGTTGCTTAGCATTAGCACTGTGCGACGGAGTATACTCGTAGAACACAGGGTCTAAGACGATTTCGTTTTTTCCTCACAGTTAATTGTACTGGCTCTCTTGACTCCTCAGACGGTAAAACAGCAGCACTGCTATTAACGACAGATATAAGTAATAACAAGTTCGAAAAACCGACAACCTATGAGGAAGAAAAACTCTCGAGTGGCAGCCTTGTACCGGCAGGCGAAGTGTAGGGCGACCCCCCACTAGATGGAGTGACCACTTGGTAAGACATGCAGGCAGTCGATGGATGCAGGTCGTTCAGGACCGTGATTTGTGGCATTCCTTGGGGGAGGCCTATGTTCAGCAGTAGACTTGCGAAGGACTTTAATAGATGATGATGTTAGGAAAGCATTACCTACCCAGAAGGACTTGGCAGAATACGAATTCTATTTCCTAGTAAATTATAATAACATGCGTTCCAATTAATAAATATCAAATCCAATTAATAATATTACCTTCCACACTAAGATCGGTTGCAAAACCTTTTTATTGATGTTTAGAGTTTGAATACGAGCAGGTTTGCCATACGAAATAAAAAAAAACCTTCAACACATGAAATGGATTTTGGAAATTTTGGCATGAATGAGTCAGCTCGACCGGGGTAGGACCACACTCTCACAGAATACCAGCGTAAAATAAACGATGCATTCCAGGGGTGATTGCAATGTGATGATCTGCATTTTGATTCTTAATCGAGGAAGCGTCCGTAGCCTAATGGCAGGGCGCAGACCGAGAACTTGAAAGGTCGTGGGTTCGAATCCGCCATTCGACTACTGTCGTGAACCACTTCTAACACAAGCATTTTAATCTTACCAGTAGTGGTTAAAGGGAATATCAGTGATGTTAAATAGCATTACTAGTTTAAAAAAATGTAGATGTCTATGCGCTGCAGCCACTTACCATCAGGTGAATCTGTGTGCTTGTTTGTCACCCATATTCTATAAAAAATACTACTTCAAAAGCTCATGTTGAAAAGATAAATAAAATCCACAACAATCAAGAACAGGTACATTACTATCGGTAAGTACAGGATCAAAGCGGCAAAAGTAGTTTCTAATAATAAATATCTAATCTTTGATTGCGCATCTAAAATGGCGGCTTAGCTTTGTAAAAGGCGTTTGCGCAGTAGAGTCACGCTGCAGCGTGTTATATCTTCAGTACGGATGGGTCCCCAGTATATGGTTCCCCAGTCGACCCGACCCGGGTTGAAGAACCACGATTGCGCAGAATTAAATTAGATTAGGTATTAAATGAAAGTTGGATATGCTTTACAATTCACTTACTACTATAAAATCAAGTAGTCCCAAGATCTAGTAGTTTAAGCACTTACCAAGTTTGTAGATCAGTCCATCCTTGAGCTTCTTGCCGCGAAATTCCGGATAGTTGTAGGCTCGCCAGCTAGAGCCACCGTAGTTCACGCCATCAACGACCGAATTGCTCATTAAACAAGGATCATTATCGCATCTCCAATCCGTTTTCATAGTGATCGGGTCCTTCACGCATTCACTGCAAAGAAAGATGCTGGTTAGTTAAATGTCTGCAATAATTCGTATTATTTGTAATTTAAGAGTCAATTTTAAATAGCTCGGGATCATTAAAGGGCACTGGCAAAATATTATTGTGTCAGAATGTGTCACCTTTGGTTTTAGCATTGTGAAATAAACGCCAGGGACGAAGATTTAAATATCTGTGTGTTTATTAGTTTAGCATACAAATAATTTCATTTCAGTATGCAACGCTATTAATAACCGAATTTATTCGTTTTGAACTCAAAAACAGGCCCGGTTTGTTTAATATAATATGATAATCTTTATACAGGGTTATTTTGCAATAACCGGTCATATTTGCAGAGAAGGTTAATAATAATTAATATGTGATGTGAATGGTGAAGAAAAATTAATTTTAAAAATCTCAAATATTCAGTCCTTTATATCTTTTATATTGAAAATGCGTGGTAATGTATTATTTTAACAGATTTTACTGCGCTAGCACACATTCGTAAGGGTCGATCAGTAGGCAAAAACGTTGTTACCCATAAATCACATTCAATTTGAGATAATTTCAAATAAAAGTAGGAGCCTTATTCACTCGTATTTTCAAAAACTGCAATAACAGTATTTCATTTATAGATTTGAACTTAAGTAAAATTTGCCTACTCTTTTAAAAATAACCCTGTGTATTTATTTCTTTTATCCGTGTGTATGCTAAACCGCAATTTTATAACTTTCGATTAAAATAATTAGGAATACGGTATCTATTTTTGGATTTCCTAATCTTACAGCGGAGCCTGCCTTACAATTGTCTAAACACGCACTTTTTTGTAAAGGCAGTATATATTCAAATTACATAATATACTGTATATATTATCATATTCACACAAAGGCATTGAATTTTATACAATATCGAGACCTCTAATGATCCTTCAATAAACAAACAGTAGAACTTTACAATTGAGACTGGTGACGTCATTTAGGGCTCCACGTCCACTTGATTGACGTCTCAAAGGACGGTCATTAGTGATGCGAGACCTCACAGAAGCATAACTCCTATGTTTATTAACTCGTGTATTCGCTATATTGGTTTTAATCCAGAGCTTAGGTTACATAAGAGATTAGGAGCGCGTCAGAAACTATTTTAAGATTATTGCATTCAAGGATGATACTAATTAAGTGTTACCAATTAGTACAATTTGTTTATGTCAATGTAAGAAGCTTATAGTTACATGGAGACTGTATGTTGTATAGAGACTGTGTAAAAGGAATGTGAGGACAAGCGCACTTTTTTAGCAAACGTCATCTTCATCTGGTACCGCTGAATGACAGACGAGGCTTTAACCATCAACTCATGATGGAAAAGCCATTTGAAGACGTTGATCCGATTTACAGATTGCTAATGTACAACCGCATTACCATTGAATGTCCAGAAATCTGTCTGAATCCAGATAGAATTCCGGTCAAGTTGGCGGTCTGAATGAATCCGGACCGAATTTCGGTCAAGGTCAACAGAAGCTAGTCATCTGCGCAGGACAGTTTTATAGCGCACGACCGTGTACGCAGGCAGTAGTGCATTCTCTCTATTCGCTTACTATGACACTCCAATGGAACCGCAATCCGACACAACCGGAGAGAGATCGTGGTTGAAACATCGCCAAGTTACCAAGTCGGACCGCTACTGAGTTTCTTAACGGAAGAACCCACTAACTGATTCCACCCGATCCTGGATCCAATTTGGGACAACAGCAGCACTCGCGTTGACGACCAATAGATCAATGAGGTAGTCATAATTAGGTGTGCGTAAGTCAAAAGTGAGTACCAGATGTGTGTTCATTAACCCACTTGTGTAACGCGGCACTAGTCTATTCCAGAAATATTTTAAGCAATGTACCTATCTAGTTTGCGTATTCTTGGTGTGGCCTGTTTTCAGTAGTATCCATTGCAATGTTTCGAATTGAAAGAACATGCTGTGAAATACTACATCTTAATCTTTAAGGTAACAATGCATTAAGTTGTATACTTCTTTTTTTTTTCTTTTTTTTTATAGAACAAGGGTGACAAACGAGCTCACAATCCACTTGATGGTAAGTGGTTGCTGTGGCCCATAGACATCTACATCTGTCTTCGTTTGCGGATTAAAACGCAGATGTGTTGTCAGCCGTGAGGACTAAGATAGAACGCCTCTTTTCCAGTAAAACGGGTCTCCGGTTCTCTACACTCACCATACGAAACACAGCAGCATTAAGCTGCTATTTTACGCTGGTATTCTGTGAGAGCGTGGTCCTTCCCCGGTCGGGCCAACCCATTCGTGCTACAACTATACTATCAATGTATGGCTCTACCACGTATAAACAAACTTCTTAATAAACTTCTTTCTTTGAAATAGGTTCATGTGCAACCAACTTTAAAAAAGGCTACATAACGTTAATCGAGATTTTTTTAAACTTATGTGACAAACATTCTTACAGCGAAAATAGCCTAATGGCAAGGTGCGGACCGCGAACTGTAAAGGTCGTGGATTCAAATCCGCCCGTCGACTACTGTCGTGAACAATCATTTTAAGCTTCTATCATCTATCATCTATAATATAATTTTAAGAATATTAGTAATGTTAATATCATTACTAGTGTTTTTTTTTAAGAAAAAAATATCTGATCATGTAGTTTATGCTACCAACACGACTACGGTGCAGAAATCATGTTTCTGAGTTTTGTGGCGGTATCAAAATCTTCCAAGACATTGTTTTTTTATATCGTCAAGTCAAAACTGGCCAGTATAGTAATAAATTTTTAATTCCTTGATTACAATATCTAAAACGGTGGCTGCATTTACACACTCAACGGCTATAATTAGCCTATCGCTGAGAAAAAAAAACATTGACGACCTGCTATGTCACTAATGCAGACGCGAGTAGACTTCTTTTTTCGATATTTCAACGCTTTCATCCCATGGAAAGCTTTCTCTCTCTCGCTCTCGCTACCACGAAATAATTTTTCTGATAATCATATTTGTGCCATTTGCTCAGTTCCGGGTTCGAATCCCACATGGAACAATATTTGTATACCGTTAGTATTTTTATACCGTAAAGTGCGCTGCTACACATAGCCTTCCGTCATAAATTGCATCATAGAAGGGATATTTGCCATAGTTGCCACGCTTAGAAAGCGGCCTGGCAACCGTTTTTTTTTTTAATTATATTTCGTTATTAGGAAGACGCTGCTGCCTATCTCCTGATTCGTTTCCCTCTGTCAACCATTACGACACCCACGGGATCATATGACTTAGTGGATATTCTCCGCTGCTACACGGTATTACCGGTAATATTTGTATAACCTAAATGATAAATATAAAACGCCCAATTCTTTACTCTCCTAAAAGAGTTAATGTTTTCAGAAAAAAAAATGCAATAACAACATTGCTTTAAAATATGTCCTTACATCTTTAGCATAACTCGACCGAAGTTACAATAACAACGTTTATCAACTTCACGCGAATTCAAGGAGATTTTTTGCAATGTATCACAAAAAGTGGAGGTGAATGCACGAAGCCAAGTTAGGGCTGCTCGATATTTTGCTTGTAAATTGTTGGTACATTAGAATAATATTTGTACTTACGTGGTACAGCCACGCTGCAGCTAAATTATTGTTGTACCACAGAATGGGTCGGCTCGACCGGAGTAGGACCACACTCTCACAGAATACTAGCGTAAAATAGCAGCTTAATGCAGTGTTTCGTATGGTGAGTGTGTAAAATTGGAAACCGTCTTTACTACAAACGAGGCATTCCATCTTAGTCTCATCTGCAAAGTTTAGATTATACAGACGTCTGGAGTTTGTTGAAAACTAAACATCTTCAATTTTATTCATACATAAATACAAACAGGTGAAGCTAATATATACATGTGTTACAATATAAATTGTGCTATCTGTAAGTTTTTTGTGACATTATTGTATGCAATAAGCAGTAATGGGTATAGGCATATTTTTTTATTGTTAACTAGCGCCCCGCCCCGGCTTCGCCTGTGTGGGATCTATTAATGTGGCGTCATTTAGATTTTTTTTTAAATAATCATCATGGATCATTTATATTATCAATTTTTTGGATAAAAAAATCTTAAATCACTCCTGGCATTGCTCTCTATATGTTCGTGAAGTTTTACCACAATTGGTTCAGCCATTTCTAAGTTTAGCCCGGATAGACAGAGAGACAGTCAGTCAAAAATTTTACTAATGTTATTCATATCTTAATACCATGCAAATAACCCCTGAGCTCTATGAAAGGCAGTTTTTTCAATACCTATAACAGTCTATTCAATTTTATTTATATCTATAGAACTAGCTGTTCTCCACGATTTCGCCCGTGTGTTATTTGCGGTTTTAATTTTTTTGCGTGGAACCCTAAATTTTTTACTAAAATAAAAGTAGCCTAAGTTACTCCTTGTGACATCAACTATCTGCCAGTGAAAATCCCGTCAAAATCGGTCCAGCCGTTTCGGAGATTAGCCGGAACAAACAGACAGACAGACAAAAACTTTAAAAACTTTATATTTGTTATTAGTACCGTATATACTTTCATATGCATTTAGTAAAAAGCTGTAATTTTAACATTACAAATATACACTTCAATTTTATTTATTTGTATAGATAACATTATTATCATTATCAACCCATTTAAGTTTACCGCTGCATATTGGCGAGTCCATTGTAAACAAACAAGATTTACCTTATTAGTTACGTTTGACAGGTAGATTGACGATTATTGTTTTCTCATTGACGATCTAATAAATAAAATAATTTCGTCATATTACAATGACTAAACCATTTTCAGGCATTACAATAAGATAACCTTTACCTACTTTTGTAAAGCCTTTGCTCAGCACATAAGTCGATTTGTTTACTTTGCATGACCTTTTGCGACGATTCATATTATATTACGATGATCTAGTGAGTTTATAGTAATTATTTCTAGTTTTTATGATAATAAATATTGTATATTTTTATTATGTACTAGCTG